GAGACTGGAGAAGTAAATAATCCTTGACTCTCAAGGAGGATGCAAGAATCATAAATTACAGATAGATTATATCCTCAGACATTGAGTAACAGTGGAAGGAAAACTAAAGCATATGGGAGATCATGCATAAAGGATAAATGGGTCAATCTCCTGTACAGAGAAGTTAGGTAAAGGATCCAAAAATGCTTGGTAGAAATTTACTAAAATAGTAGAAGGAATAATTTCTCCCATTAAAAAAGAGAGAGAGAGAGAGAGAATTAGAGGATGGAGGAAAATTGCCAGATGACAGAGAAAAGAAGATAAAAAAATGTTTTCTTGATTGGTCTAGGTTTCTCTCTTATTGCAGAGATTAGCCCATCTGCTGTACTAGGTCTTGTAGGAGAAGAAGGAAGAGAAGGTTTGGAACATTCATATGTTGGGAACCCAATAAGGGATAAGTCAACAGATAACAGAAAAATTTTAATAGAAACTGTCTAGATTTGTAGTAGATCACATATACAAATTTATCAAACAAAAATATACTGCCCAAGAATGAAAACTAGGAATATGGGCCAGGATAAAGAATTGCCAGTGACTGAGGGAATTAAGTGTGGTGAAACATGGTCAGTATTATTCAAGTTTCTAATCAAGGAAGTCAGGCTTGCAGAGTGGAAGCCTAAAGCCAAATGACAGTAAATGAAATCTTCTTCCTTTCTTGCATTTAATGTATTTAATTTTGTATTTAACTTTGAATAGTCTATCTCTGACCCGATTCTACTCTAAAAGATGTAAATTTCCTTCGTGGCTAAGAGACGTTTAATTGGAAATGCTACATTAGAAAAGACAGGAGATTCCAAAGATAACTGAAGGAGGAACTCGTGAACAAGGGGGTTAGGTATATATGGAGTGGAAGGTTTTTTAAAAAGAGCTCCCAGATAGACACTTAAAGTGGAGTTGCTCCGTTTTGAGGTGTGAAGACTTCAGTGAATTCCTGAATCGGAGTGAAAACACAAATCACTGGAATGGAGAACAGGGAGACACTGGATGGACACAGGCTGCCTTGGAGGTTTGTTATTTAGGAGAAGAACTGAAGTCAAGTTGGATAAGAAAGGTGTTTGCAAGTGCTGATGTCACCAACAAAGGTGGGAACGTGTAGCAGGGGGTGAACATGATGAGTGATGGGTGCTGTGGGAAGAATGAGCACAACAGTTTCACAAACTACAGATATGTAGAGAACATGAGAACACAGATCTGTGATGATAAACCTGTGATTTTTGTGGTACTGGTGTGCGTTGCTGTCAGTGTAAACTTACATGGCTGAGTGAGTGGGAACTTACCTTCTCTGCCTTTTTTTGAACATTCATTAACTGTAAATTCTAACCCAGACAACAGCAAGTGAGGCGCAGTCCTGGCTCACAAAGCGCTCACAATATAGTGGGACTGAAAATATTTCAATGCAATAAGTATAGAGAGGGAGAAACATGGCTGCAGAGGTGTGCATTTGTACAGAGAAAGTTGCTTATCCAGCCATTTGGAGGGATGAGAAAAGTCTTTCTAGATGAGAAATATAGATTGGCTATCATAAAGAGTTGGATGGAGGTAGAAGAAGCAGAACATATAAAAGACCACAGGAAAAAAAAAGAGTATCTTTAGGGGCATACATGTATTCCAGTATGAGTAGAGAAAAGAGAAAGCAGGGAGGGAAAAAAGAGAGAGTATGTGTATGTTAGTTGCACTAGTATTTCAGAAAACGGGCACTTATTATCTATAATCACAATAGTGCCTATGCAAAAATATATTTTGGAAACATTATTTAATCATGAGGAATGGCTTGGAGACTAGAACTGCAGACTAGGAGACCAGTTGGGAGGTCTTTGGATAAATGGATCTAGAGCCTGGAAAGCAAGGTAAATGGCAATGTAGGTTTGGGAGATATTATCACGTGCAAGCTAAGCGAAGCCAAGGTAGTAGACAAGATTTGCCAGAGAGAGGAAAGTGAGAAGAAGATGGCTACAGACCATTAGGAAACACAAACAGTAAAGCATTCTGAAGGGGAGAGATGACTTTAATGAGAGCTGGATCAGGCCAGGGTACAAGAGAAGAACCAGTGGAAGGTAGGAAATCAAAACCAAAAGTGGCCTTTCATGGAAGAGTGATTTTTAAAGGAAAGAAGAGAGACAAAATAGTAGTTAATAGGAGAATTTACCAGAATAAGATATCTTTATTACAGCTGTTGGTTTTTTTTGTTTTTTTTTTTGGTTTTTTTTTCAGTTATGGGTTTTTTTTTCCCCCATTTATTTATTTTATTGAATTTTAGGTTTTGGGGTACATGTGAAGAACATGCAAGATTGTTGCATAGGTATACACGTGGCAGTGTGATTTGCTGCCTTCCTCCCCATCACCTACATCTGGCATTTCTCCCCTTGCTATCTCTCCCCAGCTCCCACCCCCACCGTCCCTCCCCTATTTCCCCCCAACTGACCCCAGTGTGTGGTGCTCCCCTCCCTTTGTCCATGTGTTCTCATTGTTCAACACCCGCCTATGAGTGAGAACATGCGGTGTTTGATCTTCTGCTCTTCTGTCAGTTTGCTGAGAATGATTGTTTCCAGGTTCATCCATGTCCCCACAAAGGACCCAAACTCATCGTTTTTGATGGCTGCATAATATTCCATGGTGTATATGTGCCACATTTTCCCTGTCCAGTTTGTTTCTGTTCTTGTTTTTGTTTTTGAGACGGAATTTCACTCTTGTTGTCCAGGCTGGAGTGCAATGGCGCAATCTTGGCTCACCACAACCTCCACTTCCTGGGTTCAAGCAATCCTCCTGCCTCAGCCTCCCGAGTAGCTGGGTCTACAGGCACATGCCACCACACCCAGCTAATGTTTGTATTTTTAGTAAAGACGGGGTTTCACCATGTTGACAAGGATGGTCTGGATCTCTTGACCTCGTGATCCACCCGCCTCGGCCTCCCAAAGTGCTGGGATTATAGGCGTGAGCCACTGCGCCCAGCTTTACAGCTGTTGTTAATTTTTTGCATATCTTCAGGTTAAAAATATTTGAATGTACGTTGATAAAGATCCAGGATATTAGGAGAAGCTGAAAATAAAGAAAGAATAATTGATGAAACAAAATCTCTGAAGTGGTAGGAAAGAAAGATAATTCAGAGAATAGATGGGGAAATTAATCTTGATGATATAGCTGTATACATTCATACCCACACGTAAATACATGTATATACATGCATATGTACATGTATACACATATGAATGCATGCATGTAAGTATGGGTATGTATGTTTGTGCGTATATGGTTGTTTTTAAAAGAATCTAATAAGTTAAATATTCATGCGGGAAGCACTTGGTTCATTTCCTAGCACCTCTAAAAAATAACTCAAGGAAATTTTCTTAAATAAAGTTAAATATGTTCCAGCTATGACAAAGGAAATATTGGAAAATAGAAGATATATTGGCACCCCTTTCTCTGAGACTGGAGGAAATGAGGGGAGGATGGATACGGAGATAAATAAATTTACAGAAAGAGAATAATGTGAGGAATATGCTCATGATAGTCCTGAAATGGCAGTTACAAAAGAGAAACATTCAGTGGAGAGAGAAAAACAGAATTTGAGTAGTGATAAAAGTCGTACACTCATTGTGAGAATAGTTTAATAGGACTGAGGGGGGAATCATGTGTCCTAATATGTAGTAAAGACTACTTATGTGATTGTGTCATTTTCTTCACCTCCTGACTATGTAAGCTGAGGGTAACACTAGTTAGATTTAGTTGAAGTCTGAGAATTCACAGAGAGAATGCAGCAGAAACCAATGGGGACTGAAAGGTAATGATCCTGGCAGAAGTGGTAGACATCTAGAGTACCTAGGGAAGAAAGCTCAAAAAGTTCTTACATCAGTGGTTCACAAACTTCAGCATGAATCAGAATCACCTAGAGCTTGCTAAAACACAGATTGTTTTCTCAACTCTAGTTTTTCTCATGTAGTAGGTTTGCGGTAGGGCCGAAGAATTTACAAGTTCCCTGATGATGATAGGGAGCTCAAGCTTCAGAAGCATTGTTCTATACCTTCCTTTCTTCTCTGGATGACAGCGCCACATTTCACAGCCACAGAGCTGACTCAGGAGTCACACGCAATTTAATAAGCCTTCCATAGAGAAAATTTAGCTTAATATACTAAGAGAACAATTATGCTCATTTTTAAAATTAGAAAATTGTACTGGGCACAGTGGCTCATGCCTGTAATCCCAGCACTTTGAGAGGTTGAAGCAGCTGGATCACGAGGTCAGGAGTTTGAGACCAGCCTGGCCAAGACGGTGAAACCCTGTATTTCTACTAAAAATGCAAAAATTAACCATTTGGTGGCAGGCACCTGTAATCCCAGCTACTCGGGAGACTGAGATTGCTTGAACCTGGTAGGCGGAGGTTGCAGTGAGCCAAGATGGTGCCACTGCGCTCTAGCCTGAACAACAAAGCAAGACTCCATCGAAAAAAAAAAAAAAATTAGAAAATTGTTACTCAGAGAAGACAGTGACTTGTCCAAGATCATCCTGCCAGTAGTTGATAGAGCAGACCTCTGACCCAGGTTTTTTCATATCCTCTCCTGTGTTATTTCTAAATGCCATAGCTACCTTAACTGCCTTCACAGTTTACAGAGCATCTGTGCCTAAAGGAAAAGGGATGTAGGGTTAGCAGTGCCCACCACCCTCAACCTTACTCTTTCACATAATTTGCTAAGCAAGGGCAATTGCTCTTACTGTAGGACTGCAGTCCTCTCTGCCAGGGCCTGGGGCTTTTGCAGAGCTCATTACAGTTCACCTGTCCAAAGAGGTTGTAGAGCTTGATTTTGATGTTCTACCTATCCCTGCTCTTTTCAGGACCTATGACACTATGCTGAGTCTTGCAATGTTTTTAAGCCCTGTCATTTCCTTAAATTCTTAAAGCTATGTGGAGAGCTTCTGAATAAGAACACAGAGCCTGTCTGTGGGCAGGTCCTATAACTGAGCAGAGTGTATGTGTGATTATTTGCAGAGAATATGAATGTGTGCAGAGCCTGTGTGTGATTATCTGTAGAGATATGCCCGTGTGAAGAGGCCATTAACTGTCATAGGGTCTGTAAATATGTGTAGACCTTGTGGTTGTTTGCAAGCTTTTATGGACATTCTGCTAATGTGTTTAAAAAAAAGTCTGAAGCTGTTTTTCCCCCATGGCACAGGTGAGGGCCCTGCATAAAATCATGGCCCTTTTACCTGCTAACAGCATACCTGCTATGAACAACTCTGACACTCGCATAGCAGGCTGCTTCCTCACTGGCATCCCTGGGCTGGAGCACCTACACATCTGGCTATCCATCCCCTTCTGCATCATGTACATAGCCACCCTGGCAGGCAATGGCATCCGAATTTGTGTCATCCTCTCCCAAGCAATACTGCATGAGCGCATGTACGTATTCTTATCTATGCTAGCCAGTGCTGATGTCTTGCTCTCTACTGTCACCATGCCTAAGGCCCTGGCCAATTTCTGACTAGGATATAGCCACATTTCCTTTGATGGCTGCCTCACTCAGATGTTCTTCATTCACTTCCTCTTTGTGGCTGACTCTGCTGTCCTGCTGGCCATGGCCTTTGACCGCTATGTGGCCATCTGCTCCCCTCTGCAATATGTCATGATCCTCACAAACGAGGTCATTGGGAAGATCGTCCCTGCCGCCCTGAGCCGCAGCTTCGTCATCATGTTTCCATCCATCTTTCTCCTCAAGCGCCTGCACTATTGCCGGATCAATATCATTGCACACACATTTTGTGAGCACATGGGCATTGCCCATCTGTCCTGTTCTGATATCTCCATCAATGTCTGGTACGGGATGGCAGCTGCTCTTCTCTCCACAGGCCTGGACATCATCCTTATTACTGTTTCCTACATCCACATCATCCAAGCAGTCTTCCGCCTCCCTTCTAAAGATGCCCGCTCCAAGGCCCTGCGTACCTGTGGATCCCACATCTGTGTCATCCTACTCTTCTATATCCCTGCCCTCTTTTCTGTCTTTGCTTACAGGTTTGGTGGGAGACGCATCCCACGCTATGTTCATATCCTCCTGGCCAACCTCTACGTTGTCATTCCTCCTATGTTCAATCCCATTATTTATGGAGTGAGAACCAAGCAAATACTGAAAGGGGCTAAGCAAATGTTTTCAAATCTTGCCAAAGGATCTAAATAAATGCTTTCAACTTAGTCTCAACTTAATCCTTTTCTATACCAATCAGTTGTCATGTATTTAGCACATTCTCATCTCTACATCTTCCAATTATCCCTGTGTTATTCTCACCAATCTCCCAATTTATTTAAATATGTCATCTACTCAAACCCACCTCTGATTTTTTTTATCAGAAATCTTCAGTAAAATCTATCTCATCCTCTTACTCTTACTATTGAAATGCAATCTGATTTCCCATCACCTCAAGAAAAACTAGCTAATTAGGGGAAATTTAAGAATCTAATTTACCATCTAAGTGAGACTTTTCTCTAACTGCTTGCACTGGCTTCCTAATGTATTCTTAATTGCTTGTATATACTTTTGACATTTGCCATTCAACATCTTTCTCGTGATGAGAACCCTGGAGAACTGTCACATCAAAGAAGTTATAGTCTCATGGGATGATATTTTTCTTACCAGTTGCACAAATTCAAGATCATAGACACGTATATACCCATGTTCAGAGATACTAATATAGCAGCAGCATAAATAGGTGGACATATCCATTTATCAACTTTTATCAAATAATTCTGAACTAACCATTATGTGTTCTGGATAAAGTTTTCCCTGAAATGTAGGCAACTATATAGGATTCTTTTCCATCCATATATGCTTTGTATTTAAAAGTTATATTCATCATTATAATTAGAAATAAAAATACCACTCATATATAATACCTATGGATTTATGCATTAATAAATAGTTAAGGGAATATAAGCATCTATATGTTATTTAATAACTTGCTCAATAATATCTGCTAACATCAGGAATTAACCTAGGGTGATGTTCTCTGAGGTTGAGAAGAGCAACTCAACCTGAATTGTAACCCAAAACCAAACTATCCTTGAAAATGTAGTTCATCTCCCAACCCTGCCCACTCCTATACTCAGTCCACAGTGAAAGAGCCATCATTTGAGATTCTACCCCACTTTTCATCTAAATCACCGTTTTGTTGGGTCATGAGTATATTCCTTCTTGTTTTATTAGAGATCTCATGTTTGTGGCCAGGTGCGATGGCTCATGCCTATAACCCCAGCACTTTGGGAGGCAGAAGCGGGTGAATCACAGTCAGGAATTCGAAACCAGCCTGACCAACATGGTGAAACCACTTCTCTACAAAGTAGCCGGGCATGATGGTGTGTACCTGTAATCCCAGCTACTCAGGAAGCTGAGGCCGGAAACTCGCTTGAACCCGGGAGGCAGAGGTTGCAGTAAGCTGAGACCACTGCACTCCAGCCTGGGCAACAGAGCAAAACTCCATGCTCCACAAAAAAAAGAAATCTCATGTTTGTGTCTTAACTCCCTGTCTAGACTGTACATTTTCTGAGAAAGACAAAATTATTTTGAAGGTGTTTTATCATATTGCCCAAAAGCATGAGAACCCTCCCATAGCAAATATGTAATATGTGTTTATGTGTATAAAATTCTTCTTTAAAAAAATTTAACATGACTTTTCCACTATAGATTCATTCTTCTTTGCAGGAGTTCCTCCTGGGAGACACTGGGACTCAATGTCATGTAGAGGAGGGAATTGTGCTAGGTGCCAGGAGACGTGGATTTAAAAGTTGGGTGTACCACTTGTTCAATAAGCTTGGGAGTTTGCATAATAGCAATGAACTTAATTTTCTGCTCATCTTTGAAGAAGATGAGCAATCAATGTTCAGTTCATTTCCACCTTTTTCTTTCAACATAGCTCTCTGCATCCTTGAGACAATGATAATAAAAATTAGAGAGAGGAGTCATTAGCATCCTTATGATATGAAAGACAAAACTGTAAGAAGTTGTGATCAAGTTTTGAGTTCTAGATCTTTGTTGAAATTGATTATGTTGGACATGACTGTTCCATTTACCAAATGTGTAAGTCTGGGCAAGTTACTTTACTTCTCTCTCACTTTTTTTTTTTTTTTTTTTTGTGATGGAGTCTCGCTTTGTCGCCCAGTGTTGAGTACAGTGGCTTGATGTTAGCTCACTGCAACCTTCACCTCCCAGGTTCAAGCAATTCTTGTGCTTCAGCCTCCTCAGTAGCTGGTACTACAGGCATACATCACCACACCTGGCTAATATACATGTTGTTAGTAGAGATGGGGTTTCACCATGTTGCCCAGGATGGTCTGGAGCTCCTGACTTTAGACAATCCGCCCACTTCAGCATCCCAAAGGGCTGAGGTTACAGGCCTGAGCTCTTGCGCCCAGCAACTTTCTTAGCTTTAAAAGTGAAATAATAATAATAACTTTCTCTTAATGATTTAATGAGAAATAAATATATATCTATATTATAACAGTCTTTTACATATAAATAAATGTTCTACAAACGATAGCTTTATTTGTATTATTTCAATTATTATTAATGAATGGCTCATTTAACACTCATAACAGTTGTCCTGAGACCTAAGCCGATTGTGTATCACACTACAACTTTGTTTCTACAAGGAGGAATAGGAAAAAGAAAACAAGAATAAAGCAGGAAAATATTTTAATCTAATATTTACAATAACTAAATTCAATCAAATGTAATTTTAACAAGTCAAAATTAAATGTATTTTTAAAAGAATTATAGAGATTTCTTTAAATACAACTATGCCACTGAAGACACATAAACTTGACTGCCGTTTTACAGACACACCAAGCTGATTTCCATCTCAGGCCTTTATGCTTGTTATTCCCATTTCCTGAAACATCCTTTTCCTACACTTTTACATGACTCATTTCCGCCTTTCCTTCATTTCTCTGTTTATATGTCTCTTCCACAGGAATTTCTCTATGATCTTCTAATAAGAAATACACCTCTCTTTCTTTCATGAGAAAAAACAAAGTCATAAGCAAAGAGACAAAAGTCAATGACAAACTGAAATCTTTTTAACTTATAGGTAAAATGCTTGCTTTTCCTAATACATAAAAGTTCCTCAAAATGTAGAGGGAAAAGATTATCAAAATTCTGATGAACATAAAGAACAGATGCATAGTTGGAATATGCTTTGCTTACTATTAATAAGAGAAAATACAATAAAAACTACACCAAGATACCATTTCTCACCTGTCAGATGAGTAAAAGTTAAAAGGATTAACCCTGTGCTGGCCATAATGTTAGAAAACAGAGCCTCTCATACTTTCTTTATGGAAATACCATACAATAGAATTAATGTAGAATTGTGAAACATCTAACAAAATGTATATGAATTTATTTATTTATTTATTTATATTTTATTTATTTATTTATTTATTTTTGAGACAGAGTTTCGCTCTTGTTACCCAGGCTGGAGTGCAATGGCGCGATCTCAGCTCACCGCAATCTCCGCCTCCTGGGTTCAGGCAATTCTCCTGCCTGAGCCTCCTGAGTAGCTGGGATTACAGGCACACGCCACCATGCCCAGCTAATTTTTTGTAGTTTTAGTAGAGATGGGGTTTCACCGTCTTGACCAGGATGGTCTCGATCTCTTGACCTCGTGATCCACCCGCCTCGGCCTCCCAAAGTGCTGGGATTACAGGCGTGAGACACTGCGCTCGGCGTATATGAATTTATTATTTGATCCAGAAATCACATTTATAGCAGTTACATTTCGTATACGCCTCCTTACATACAAAATTATGGCATAAAAAGTTCATCATTATGACAAAATTTTTGTAACACAAAAGTTTTTGAAACAACCTAAATAGAGTCTGAAATTCCTAGATTTCAAATCCACACCCTTATGCTTACTAAAGTATAAAAACTTACTGACTTTTACCAAGTTACACAAAGGCGTTATAATCACACAGACAGGTTAGAGACTGCAGTCACTCTATTCAGTACATACTTCCTAACTGTTTGTCACCGGGCAATTTGGTAATTATCCTCTTTAACCCTGTTACCTTCTCTGTAAAAAAGAGTAACAATAACTGCTTCAGGGGTTGTTTTGTTTATTAATGAGATTAGCTAGATATAAGAAAATAAATAACTGGCATATTAATAGATACTTGATTGCTATCAAAAATTTAACTATCACAAAATAGCTAGAATATATTTTTATTTCAAGTATATTTATGTGCACCTCTGGTAGAGCTGTATGTTCACCAGCTGAATGCCTAAAAAACACAGCATCTTAACAAAAGAACAATAGATTTGTAAAAAGTGACAAAAAAAGTTTTAGGCTTCTAAGGGTAGCAGACTGTAGGAAAGTAAAAATGTGGTGGAAACTAATAGAGGATAAGGGTTGATTAGTAAGGTTTGTGTAGGCTCTTTCTCAATGCCATATTGTCTCTGGTGATAGATTGTTATGCCCTTTGTGGTAATAATGGAGAGGTATGAGTCAAGGGTAGGGGTCATCTTCACAAGAGGAATTTGTGTTTAGCTTTTGGGCAGATAGGAAGAGGGCAGAGAGCTCATCCTGTGTCTTCTTTTTCTCAATTGCTGGGATTACAGGTGTGAACCACTGTGCCCATCCAGCTAAATTTTGATTAAGTTCTTTTTAAAACTATTTGATTTGTGCTAAGGTCTGCTGTCTGTATCCTTCCCCAAATTTATGCCTTACAGTTACCCAAATTGCATGTTAAAATCCTGCCCTTCAAGGTGATAGGATTAAGAAGTGGGCCTTTTGGGAAGCAAAGATCATGAAGGCAGAGCCCTGCTAAACGGGATTATTATGCTTATAGTTGTAGAGAGCTTGTTCTTCCCTTCCACTTTCTGAGATAACAGTGAGAAAATGATGTCTATGAGGATTAGGCCATCACCAGGCAGATCGGCAAGTACCTTGATCTTGGACTTCTCAGTCTCTAAAACTATGCGAAATAAATTTATATTGTTTATACACTACCCAGCTTATGATATTTTGTTATAGCAGCCAGAATGGACTAAGGCATTTTGTCTCTCTGAGAAGCTGAATATAAGAACAAAGGAAAGCAAATCCTCCACTGGAGATGTTATGCTTCTTATGGTCTGATTTTGGGGGAATTATGCTATTTTGGGTTTAAAATGACAGTAAGCCAAGAAAAATGATCTAATTGTCTATACTAGAAGCACAAAGATCTTTAATTTTTTTTAATTTCAGCTTTTATTTTAGATGCAGGGGGTACATGTGCAAGGCTGTTTCATGGGTAGACGCACCAGGTAGTGACCATAGTACCCAATAGAAGATTCTTAACCCATGACCCTTCTCACTTCCTCCCTGTCTAGTAGTTGGCAATGTCTATTGTTCCCATGTTTATGTCCATGTATGCTCAATATTTGGCTCCACTTATAAAGGAGAACATGTGGTATTTGGTTCTCTGTTTCTTCATTAATAAATTTAGGATTATGACCTCCAGCTCCATTCATGTTGTTGCATTCATGTTCTTTTTTATTGTTGCTCAGTATTCCATAGTGTATATGCACCACATTTTCTTTATCCAATGAGTCATTGATGTGTTTGATTGATTCCATGTGTTTGCTATTGTGAATAGCACTGCAACAAACTTATGAGTGCAAGAGTCTTTTTGGTAAAATAATTTCTTTTCTTAGGTAAATACCCAGTAATGGGATTTCTGGGTCAAATGGCAGCTCTATTTTAAGTTCTTGGAGAAATGTCCAAATTGCTTTTCACAGCAGCTGAATTAAAACAATGCATAAGGGTTCCTGTTTCTCTGCAGCCTTGCCACCATCTATTGTTTTTTGACTTTAGTAATAGCTAGTCTGACTGGTGTGAGATGGCATCTCGTTTTGG